GTCAACAGGGAAGCCAGATTCGCTTAACAGGGAAGCCAGATTCGCTTAACGACCGTGTTACCAACTTAACAACTGCGAGGATTCACTTAACAATGATGGCAAACGAGGTCGTAAAATGGGGCAGAGACAAATTTCTCACTGAGCAACAGAAATTTGGGGGGGGTCTATTGTGGTCGTACGTCGAGGACTCCCTGTAGGCTTCGCTTATCTGGCTACGTTTCCCATCTGGCCTACCTGGTGAGGCTGAACAAGGACAGCCCGGGGTGGGATTCCACCCTCCAGATCTTACCTCCAGGACAGTGTCTCTTCATCCGACACTTCCGGGACTCGGACAGTGCCGGACACAGGGCCACGTTCTCCTTGCCGCTCTGGAGAGTCTCCCGGACTCGGATCTCCGAACCCCACTTGTACCCGCACATCCGCCCTTGTTTGGTGCAGGGGCTCCAGCTGCCCCAGGGGGCTGCCTCGCAGTTTTCTGGCAGGGGGAAAGGGAGAGGATATGGAGACACCATCAGGAATAGAAGCTTTTAAGAAGAGACGAGACAGTCACCTGTCTGAGATGGTAGACGTTCTCCTGCTTGAGCGGGGGGGCTGGACTAGAAGACCTCCAAGGTGCCTTCCAGCTTCTATTCTATTCCATTTTCTATTCTATTCCATTTTCTATTCTATTCTATTCCATTTTCTATTCCATTTTCTATTCTATTCTATTCTATTCTATTCTATTCTATTCTATTCCATTTTCTATTCCATTTTCTATTCTATTCTATTCTATTCTATTTTAGTTATTCTATTCTATTTTCTATTCTGTATTTCTATTCTGTATTTCTATTCCATTTTCTATTCCATTTTTTATTCCATTTTCTATTCTATTCCATTTTCTTTTCTTTCTTTTTTTCTGTTCTGTTCTTTCTATTCTATTCTATTCTATTCTATTCTATTCTATTCTATTCTATTCTATTCTACAATCTGTCTCTTCTCTTCTCTTCTACAATCTCTCTTTATTCTATTCTATTCTATTCTATTCTGTTCTGTTCTGTTCTGTTCTGTTCTGTTCTATTCTATTCTGTATTTCTATTCTATTTTCTATTCTGTATTTCTATTCTGTATTTCTATTCCATTTTCTATTCCATTTTCTATTCCATTTTCTATTCTATTCCATTTTCTATTCTATTCTATTCTATTCTATTCTATTCTATTCTATTCTATTCTAATTCTGTTCTGTTCTATTCTGTATTTCTATTCCATTTTCTATTCCATTTTCTATTCTATTCCATTTTCTATTCTATTCTATTCTATTCTATTCTATTCTATTCTAATTCTGTTCTGTTCTATTCTGTATTTCTATTCCATTTTCTATTCCATTTTCTATTCCATTTTCTATTCTATTCCATTTTCTATTCTATTCTATTCTATTCTATTCTAGTCTAGTCTAGTCTATCGCTTCTATCCTATCCTGTCCTATCCTATCCTATCCTATCCTATCCTATCCTATCCTATCCTATCCTATCCTACTCTGTCCTGTCCTGTCCTATCCTATCCTATCCTATTCCATTCTCTCTGGGCTGGGGGGTTTAGTTGCAGACGAGGGAGGGGGCTTACCTTGGCATTCCCGGGTGCTGTGCCAGGCCATGGTGTCAGGAGGACAGGTGTTTAAGCACTTCCCTTTGTGCAGGTAGAAGCTCTCTTGACATTTCATGCAAAAGTCTTTGCTGAAACAGCTCTCACAGCTGGGCGACCGGCATTCTAGAACATAGAGATGGCGCGTTAGAAAAAGCCGCCTTTAAGCCGGTGGGCTGACTTTGGGCCAATCACCTAGGAGACGGTGAGTTCTAGTTCCGTCTTAGACATGAAAGCCAGCTGGCTGACTTTGAGCCAATCACCAGGAGACGGAGAGTTCTAGTCCCACCTTAGTAATGAAAGCTGGCTTGCTGACTTTGGGCCAATCACCAACTCTCTCTCTCAGCCCAACCCACCTCACAGGATTGTTGTGATGGGGAAAACAGGAGGAGGAAGACCTATCGGATATGTCTGCTGCCTTGAATTATTTGTAAAAATACAAATAAATACATATAAAAATACAAATAAATACATAAAAATAAGTCATATTGAATTATCAATATGACTGCCCCGATTTTATGATTTTGTTTTTCAGCAGTGGTTAAACAGTGGTCACTTAAGCTATAGGCCAGTTTTGCTGAAAACCAAAAGTAAATGCTGGTTGTGGGCTCCTTGGTGCTCACTGAGCTGGGTGGTTTTATTGCAGACATTTCATGACCCAACTAGGTAATATCATCAGCACTAGGAGGAAGGAGGCATTTACTCTTGGTTTATAGACTGGTGGCTGCCCTATCAGGACCCAGGACCCCACAATCCTCCTCCTCCTCCTCCTCCTCCTCCTCCTCCTCCTCCCTTCTAGCACTGATGATGTTACCTAGTTGGGTCATGAAATGTCTGCAAGAAAACAACCCAGCTCAGAGAACACCAAGGACACCATAGTTCTCCTCCTCCTCCTCCTCCTCTTCCTCCTCCTCCCTACATACCCTACTCCCTTCTAGCACTGATGTTACCTAGTTATTCATAATTCATAATTAGCAAACTTTAAGATACTTCTGTACCCTTCTACCACTACTACCCTCAAGAAAGAAATATTATTTTAATGGAAAAAAATATCAGTTACGTTGCCATAGAAATTCTGATAAAGCTGCATATTTCTTTTTCTTTTTCTTTTTTAAAGGAGTTAATAGGCAATCCAAGAGTAGAATGAACCTTCAAAACCCTCTGTTAACAGTCTGTTATTGTATTTAAAACGCAGAAAGCCTGCAACGGCTTCTTATCTACCCCAAGCCACAATCATCATTATCTCTGATCCATTCAGGATTCATCCGGGATCAAAAGTGACAATAAAGGTTATTTTTTTCTTATCGGTATATGTCAGGGGTAGGCCACCTTGGCTCTTTTGTGACTCATGGACTTCAACTCCCAGAATTCCTGAGCCAGCCATGCTGAGGGGAAAGGGAGAGGTTTCCAAGCTGAGCCATGCTGGCTCAGGAATTCTGGGCGTTGAAGTCCACCAGTCATGAGGGGGCCATAGTTCCCCCATGCTGGCTCAGGAATTCTGGGAGTTGAAGTCCACAAATCATGAGGGGGCCATAGTTCTCCCATGCTGGCTCAGGAATTCTGGGAGTTGAAGTCCACCAGTCATGAGGGGGCCATAGTTCCCCCATGCTGNTTGAGTGATCTAATATCTGTGTTGATAGACTGAAGATGCGATGGATAAAGCAAACAAAGAAAGGAAAGGCAGAAAAAATCCATGCACCTTTTTCTTGGCTGGTAAGAGTAAGTTGGACTTAGGATATTCCATGCTGGCTCAGGAATTCTGGGAGTTGAAGTCCACGAGTCATAAAAGAGCCAAGGTTGCCTACCCCTGGTATATGTGTTTCTTTTCTTTTTCTTTTAATGCACCTCTTTTTCAAATATTGTCTAGTTTTGTTTTGCCTTGGTAATTTTTTTTTGAAGTTTCTATTTTAATTTTTTGCATAAAGTTTAAAAAAAATTTTTTTAAAAAAGAAACAAACAGAAAGACATCTAATAAAGGATAAATCGAATAATAATAATAATAATAATAATAATAATAATAATAATAATAATAATAATGATGATGATGATGATGATGATGATGATAATGATAATAATAATAGTATAATAATAATAATAAAGTTGGAAGGGACCTTGGAGGTCATCTAGTTCAACCCCCTGCTCAGGATCCTGAGAACTGAGGACTCGGAGGTTGCCCCAAATTGCCCGCCTTCCTTCTATGTTTTTATCTCGCTAATACGCTACCGACTCCTCCAAGACTTCGGTTTTTCACACCCTGGACACCTACTGATGCATCGGTTGACTTCCTGGCCTCGCACCCCAAAGTAGCCCAGCGGGCAGGCGTGGACGCAGGCCCCGTACTGTCGGATCCCGTCCCTCCAGATGAGCAGGAAGAGACGCTGCTGGCAGGAGACGCAGCCGTTGTCTTCGGAGCACATCACACAACCGGTGCAGTTCTCAAACATGGCGGCATTCACTGAAAGAAGAAGAGAAGAAGAGAGTTGGAAGGGACCTTGCAGGTCTTCAAGTCAGGAGGCCCCTGACCTTTGGGGTTTCTACAGAATAATTTACAGAATGACAGAGTTAGAAGGTCATCTAGTCCACCCCCCACCCACCCCGCTCAGGCAGGAAGCCCTATACTATTTCAGACAAATGGCTGTCCAATCTCTTCTTAAAAACTTCCAGTGCTTGAGCATTCACAACTTCTGGAGGCAGGGAGTTCCACTGGTTAATTGTTCTCACGGTCAGGAAGTTTCTCCTTAGTTCTAGGTTACTTCTCTCCTTGATAGGTTTCCATCTGTTGTTTCTTGTCCTGCCGTCTGGTCAGTGGTGGGATTCAAATATGTGAACAACCGGTTCTCTGTGTGGATGCTGCTTCCAGAAGTCCATTCTGGGCCTGGGCAACAAAAAATTAGCTACCGATTCTGCTGAAGTGGTGTGAAGTGGCTGAATCTCATCACTGCCTCTGGTGCTTTGAGAATAGAATAGAATAGAATAGAATAGAATAGAATAGAATAGAATAGAATCTGGAAAGTACCTTGGAGGTCATCTAGTCCACCCCCCTGCTCAGGCAGGAAACCCTATACCATTTCGGACAAATGGCTGTCCAGTTTCTTCTTAAAAACTTCCAGTGTTGGAGCATTCACCATTTCTGGAGGCAGCTTGTTCCACTGATTAATTGTTGTAACTGTCAGGAAGTTTCTCCTTAGTTCCAGGTTGCTTCTCTCCTTGATGAATTTCCATCCGTTGCTTCTTGTCCTGGCTTCAGGCACTTTGGAGAATAGCTTGACTCCCTCTTCTTTGGGGCAGCCCCTGAGATATTGGAAGACTGCTATCATATCCCCCCTCGTCCTTCTCTTCATTAAACTAGACATTCCCAATTCCAGCAACCGTTCCTTATATGTTTCAGCCTCCAGTCCCCTGATCATCTTTGTTGTTCTTCTCTGCACTCTTTTCTAGAGTCTCAACATCTTTAGATGTTAAGTGATTTTTGCCCCATTTTGCAACTTTTCTTGCCCTGGCTTCTAAGTAAATCACTGAGGTGGTTAAGTTAGTAACACACACAGTTCTTAAGTGACTCTGGGTTCCCCATTGCTTGTCAAAAGGGGGTCACGTGACCTCCGAGGGATGCCACAACCGTCATAAATACAACTCGGTTGCCAAGCGCCTGAATTTTGATCACGTGACCCTCGGGGTGTGTGTGATGCTGCTGCAACGGTCGTTAAGTGTGAAAAACGGTCATGGGTCACTTTTTTTGGTTGCTCAGGGGCCGTTCGAAGTTACAATGGACACCCTCCCCACACAGACACACAGACACACAGACACAGACACAGACACAGACACACACACAGACACACACACACACACACACTGTTGCTTACAATCGTGGTCCTAAGCCAAGGACTACCGCATATATATATTTTAGCCTTGAGTTGTATATAAAGAATATCCATCCGAAAAGCGGGACAGAGAAAAAGAAACGGGTGCACCTTTGTTGTCTAGGAAAAATAAAATATGTAAATTGCAAAAAAAACCCCACAAAACACAAGAAGAAAAAGAAGAATTGCATGACAGCAATTACACATTTTCCAGGCGTCTTCTTTTTGATATATGCAACATTAGGCAGAGAAATTAGACAGAAGGAAAAATAATGTGCGGTGCATATGTGGAACCCATTTTAAAAAAAACCAGATTTCCACGGATTTCTGGCAGCTGTGGAGATTTGGTGACCCAGAGATTAAGGCTAAGAGGCCGCAGGTATCGGGAGCCAAATTAAAAGCCGGCCCCCTTATTGCACCATGCAGAAAATTCTGTTGGTTTTTTTGCCCGATCTCTATTTTTATTTTTTTTTAATTTGGGGTGGAGATATTTATTCGGAACAAAACGGTCTACCGAAGATGCAGACCTGATCAGAGACAGCCCACAAGAAATGGGAAAAAAATATATATAGATCCGGGTGTTTGTTTGTTTTTTGCCCCCCAATGTTGGCAACTTTAAAATGGACGGACTACCGCTCCTGGAGCTGGCTGGAGAATTCTGGGAGTTGAAGTCCCCCCCTCATCTGAAGTTGCCAAGTTTGAGAAATACTGATTTACAACAGTGTCTTTCAGTCTGGCAACTTGAAGATGGGTGGACTTCATTTCCCAGCATGCTGACTGGGGAATTCTGGGAGTTGAAGTCCACACATCTTACATTCGCTAAGGCTGACTGGTGAATTCTGGGAGTTGAAGTCCATACATCTTATAGTTGCTAAGGCTGACTGGTGAATTCTGGGAGTTGAAGTCCACACATCTTATAGTTGCTAAGGCTAATTAAGGAATTATGGGAGTTGAAGTCCCTACCGTTGCTAAGATTCCCTGAGGGATTCTGGGAGTTGAAGTCCACACATCTTACATTCGCTAAGGCTGACTGGTGAATTCTGGGAGTTGAAGTCCATACATCTTATAGTTGCTAAGGCTGACTGGTGAATTCTGGGAGTTGAAGTCCCCACCGTTGCTAAGATTCCCTGAGGGATTCTGGGAGTTGAAGTCCACACATCTTACATTTGCTAAGGCTGACTGGTGAATTCTGGGAGTTGAAGTCCCCACAGTTGCTAACACCCCCCCAGGGAATTCTGGGACTTGAAGTCCACACATCTTATAGTTGCTAAGGCTGGCTGGGGAATTCTGGGAATCGAAGTCCACCCACCTCTCTGGAATGCCGTCCCGGATTTTGAGGTCCCATCTTTCCTTGCTGCCTAGCTGAGTACAATCTATTTTGCAGGGGGAATTCAAAGGAATAACCTTGGCACGTTTCCTTGGAAAACCAAAATACGGCTAATTCTTTGCAAAACCCACTGTCCTAATTGAACAATGGGGTGTTTTCCCTAGAACCACCCCATGGAAAATCGGGGGGGGTGGTTTAATATGAAAAGGAGGGGGTACGATAAGGTGACAAGGCGCCACTTCGTATTACATTTTGTCTGTTCAAAAGTAAATAGCCCATGTTCACAATTAGCTTCCTCCGAGTTGTTTAAACCAGATTTTAACCAAAGTGCAATCAACAGGATCCTCGCCCAATTAGAAAAGCGAACGGTTTTTCACTCCCTGCCTATTACTCCAAGACTTTTTGGTGCCTGAAGCTTTCGCCCTCACGGGGTGGTTAAATAATAAATAATAATAATAATAATAATAATAATAATAATAATAATAATAATAATAATAATAATAATAATAATAATAATAATAATAATTAAAAAAAAAAAAAAAAAAAAAAAAAAAATAAAAAAAATTAAAAAAAAAAAAAAAAAAAAAAGGTCAATTTTGCAGCCCTTGAAGCAATGTCTCAACAAGCATTGTCTCTGGCAAACCGTACATTCGACTTGCTTAAATTGCTACTGGGTTACATCAAGTCAGCCTTTCAAGGTTTTACTAATGGGTAAATAATTCTTGGATTGGTCTGCTCTTTGTGAGTCATCTTTGCAGCCTCTGTGGGGTTTCCCCCCCCCAATCAGAATAGAGCTGGAAGGGACCTTGGAGGTCTTCTAGTCCAGCCCTCTGCTCAGGCAGGAAATCCTATACCATTTCAGACAAATGGCTGTCCAGTCTCTTCTTAAAAACCTCCAGTGTTGGAGTGTTCACCGCTTCTGGAGGGAGGTTGTTCCACTGGTTAATTGTTCTAACTGTCAGGAAGTTTCTCCTTAGTTCTGGGTTGCTTCTCTCCTTGATTAGTTTCCACCCGTTGCTTCTTGTCCTGCCTTCAGGCGCTTTGGAGAATAGCTTGACTCCCTCTTCTTTGGGGCAGCCCCTGAGATATTGGAAGACTGCTATCGTGTCCCCCCTTGTCCTTCTCTTCATTAAACTAGACATTCCCAATTCCAGCAACCGTTCCTTATATGTTTTAGCCTCCAGTCCCCTGATCATCTTTGTTGCTCTTCTCTGCCCTCTTTCTAGATTGTCAACATCTTTTTTACATCGTGGTGACCAAAACTGGATGCCGGATTCCAGGTGTTTTCCAAAATTGCACCAATGGAATTCAGTAGGGTGTGTACATATAGAATAACAGGATAATAGAATTGGAAGGGACCTTGGAGGTCTTCTAGTCCAACTCCCTGCCCAAACAGGCGCCCCTATACCATTTTAGACAAACGGTTGTTCAGTCTCTTCTTTTAAAAAAAATCTGTTCTCTAAAACACCTGAAGGCAGGACAAGAAGTAACAGACGGAAAGTAATCAAGGAGAGAAGCAACCTGGAACTAAGGAGAAACTTCCTGACAGTTAGAACAATTAACCAGTGGAACAACCTGCCTCCAGAAGCGGTGAATGCTCCAACACTGGAAGTCTTTAAGAAGAGACTGGACAGCCTTTGTCTGAAATGGTATAGGGCAGTGGTTCTCAACCTGTGGGTCGGGACCCCATTTGGGGTTGATCTCATGGGGGTCGGGATCCCCATTTGGGGTTGATTTCATGGGGGTCGCCAAGCAAGGCTGTCCGCCATTTTTTTTTGTCCGCCATTTTTTTGTCTGCCATTTTTTTCCCCTTTTCCGGTGGGTGCCTTACCTCCCTTGGGCTGGGCCAGCTGGTGGTCGGCCTGCTCCGTCTCTGCCGCTTGCCAGCTACGCCTCGGCCGGCGCAGGGGGTGGAACCACACATGTGCGACACTCCCAGGCAGGGAAAGTCCTCGACCTACGACCGGTTGGGTAGTCCTCGACTTACGACCAGTTTAGTCCTCGACTTATGACCGGTTTAGTCAACTTATGACCAGTTTAGTCCTCGACTTACGACCAGTTGGGGTCGCAGCATTAAAAAGGTTGAGAACCACTGGTATAGGGTTTCCTGCCTGAGCAGGGGGTTGGACTAGATCAGCGTTTCTCAACCTTGACCATTTTAAGGCATGTGGACTTCAACTCCCAGAATTCCACAGCCAGCATTGCTGGCTGTGGAATTCTGGGAGTTGAAGTCCACATGCCTTAAAATGGTCAAGGTTGAGAAACCCTGGACTAGATGACCTCCAAGGTCCCTTCCAGACCGATGAGTCGATGTTCTAACTAACCCACAAAAAACAGGCCACAGAAGTCCAGCTATATCAGCTGTTGATGCATGGATGCTCAAGGCTCAACCGATCAAGCTCAGTTATGGCTTTACAAAGGCCTTAATAAGACCACACCTGGAATACTGCAGTCAATTTTGGTCACCCTATCACAAAAAAGACGTTGAGAGTTTGGAAAAAATTCAGAGAAGAGCAACTAAGATGATCCAAGGCCTGGAGACTAAAACATACAAAGAACGGCTGCGGGACTTGGGTTTGGCCAGTCTAAAGAAAAGAAGAAATAGGGGAGACATGATAGCAGTGTTCCAGTATCTGAGGGGCTGCCCCAAAGAAGAGGGGGTCAGGTTGTTCACCAAAGCACCAGATTTTGATTTTGACGTGGGAAAGGGCTGGAATTGCTCGGTGAGGTGATGTGACGGTTTGGGATTCAGGATCATCAAGATGTTGAGGATACCCAACCGTAACCTTTGACCTCAGGCCAGCCACGTAAGGCTGTGGAAATCCAAGATGGAGAGGAGTCATCTCCAACTCCATCCTAGCCAAGACCAAGGGCTGTAGATATTTGGATGCTTCTCTACCCCCACCCCCAGATCTGGGAATAGTCCATCTTTGACTTCCCCCTTGAAAGTTGGCGAAAAATTTGGGGTCTTCCTGGACTTGAAATAAGTTGTTGCACTCTTTGCTAGACTGGAGGGGCCCATCAGACAGTCACCGATGCCCTGGTCGGCTTGCTGCTTGGCTACTGCAATGCACTTCACATGGGGCTGCCCTTGAAGTCCAACCAGTAGCTTTAACTGATCAGGAATGCAGCAGCGCAAGTGGTAACAGGCAATAACTGAGAATGCCTGGAGAATACCTCTTCCTTGTGAGTCACACCGGTTGCTGGTTGCCTTCTGGATCAGATTTGAGGCGCTGGTGGACTTGAGCCCCCCCCCCGTCCGCTGTTCCCCCCCCCTAACATCTATATAAGGAACGGTTGCTGGAATTGGGTCTGTCTAGTTTAATAAAGAGAAGGACGAGGGAAGACATGATAGCAGCCTTCCAGTATCTCAGGGGCTGCCCCAAAGAAGAGGGAGTCAAGCTATTCTCGAAAGCGCCTGAAGGCAGAACAAGAAGCAACGGATGGAAACTAACCAAGGAGAGAAGCAACCTAGAACTAAGGAGAAACTTCCTGACAGTCAGAACAATTAACCAGTGGAGCAACCTGCCTCCAGAAGCGATGAATGCTCCAACACTGGAAGTTTTTAAGAAGAGACTGGACAGCCATTTGTCTGAAATAGTATAGGGTTTCCTGGCTGAGCAAGGGGTTGGACTTGATGACCTCCAAGATCCGTTCCAACTTTATCATTATTATTATTAAAATAAAATAATATAAAATAATATAAAACAAAACAAAATAAAATAAAATAATAAAATAAAATATAAAATAAAATAATAAAATAAAATATAAAATAAAATAATAAAATAAAATAATAAAATAAAATAACTCCCTGAGCAGGGAGTTGGACTAGATGACCTCCAAGGTCCCTTCCAACTTTATTATTGTTATTATTGTTATTATTGTTGTTGTTATTATTATTATTATTATCTATCTTGATCCTGCAAAGTTGGGACATGGTACAAATGCCTGCATTTAACATCTTTATCCCTCCTATCATATCCTTCCCAGGGACCTGTTGTTGATGTTAGAGATTGTTAAAGGTGTAGTCACTGCAGGATGTAAGCTGCTCCAAGTCAAGCTGTCTTTTGCAATTGACGGATGGTATGTCAGTTCCAATATTATTATTATTATTATTATTATTATTATTATTATTATTATTATTATTATTATTATTATTATTATTATTATTATTCAGAAAGCATCACCTGCTGTCATGACCAAGCAAACAACCTGCCTAGTGAAATGACTCTTAGGAACAGAGCCCAAAACCAAGACCACAGCTGGAACACTGCAGCCAATTGTGGTCAGCATATCACAAAAAAGATGTTGAGAGTTTGGAAAGAAAATCAGAGAAGATGATAAAATGATCAAAGGCCTGGAGACTAAAACATATGAAGAACGGCCGCGGGACTTGGGTTTGGCTAGTCCAAAGAAAAGAAGAAATAGGGGAGACATGATAGCAGAGTTCCAGTATTTGAGCGGCTGCCACAAGGCAGAGGGAGTCAGGTTGTTCACCAAAGCACCAGAGGGAAGGACGAGAAACAATGGTTGGAAACTGATCAAGGAGAGAAGCAACCTGGAATTAAGAAGAAACTTCCTGACAGTGAGGACAATCAACCAGTGGAACAGCTTGCCACCAGAAATCGTGGGCACTCCGTCACTGGAGATTTTTAAGAAAAGACTAGACCCTCACCTATCTGAGATGGTATAGGTTCTCCTGCTTGAGCAGGGGGCTGGACTAGAAGACCTCCAAGGTCCCTTCCAGCTCTATTCTATTCTAATATTCTAATGGCTTCGCTAATGTCCCATCTTAAAACAGTCTTGCTCTCTTTCCTGCAGTGACCCAACATTCCCAGGGAACGCTAGAAACCCCCCAATATTTGCATTCATACATCCAG